TATTCTAGTGCTGGTGACATCTTTTGTCTGTGCATTTCTTTAAGAAACCTATGCCTAATTTGGACACGATTTCTGCATCAATCGGCAACAATTCTAACATGCCATGGCCATGATGAGAGTGTACAGATGTTGATGTGAGATAGGGTTACACCCCCAAACCCCCCCTCAGTGCCCCCCCATCTTCCCCCTGCTAGTAGGCCTACAGTATTTCCCCCAGTGTGCAGACTAGCATTGTCCATGGTGCTGAATCACTTCTCCCCTGCTTTCTTTTTGCCCTGCCCCATGCTGACTGTGTGTGTGTGTGGGAAGCCTGCAGAGAGAGAGAGACAGAGAGAGAGAGCATAGAGTGACAATATGCATGTCTGCCCCCTTACTTTCCCCACTGCCCCCCCTCCTCCCATATGTAACCATGTGCAGCTTGACCTTGGGGACTTAACATTTTAGCAGATCTGTGACAAACACTCATCATCATCGCCTCCCTGCAGTTCTGTCCCGTCACCTTGCTCCCCCCCTCCTCAACCCCGTTTCCCAAAATGTTCTGTTTAATCACAACGGGTGTTGGTGGAGGAGGAGTGGGTGGTTGTGGGTAACTATGTGTCTCTTCTGTGGAGTATTACCGTGCCACAGCCCACTGATGATTTGTCATGATTTTCAAACGCTGTGTTTCAAAGTTACATTTATATGCTTTGCGATATTTGACCTGCTTCTATTTTGTTAAATAAAGTGTGGTTGAGGTTGAGTAAAAAACAACAAAAAACACAACAATGTTTGCTTTGAGGAATTTTGATTGTATTCGAGGTGGTGTAATGGCAGGTTTGATTTATGGTCTGTTCATATTGTTTAGCATACCTAACATACAGAAGGGGTTACATATGCTAACTTCAAGTACCTCTTTGTCCTTCAATATGGAAAACGGTTCAAAATAAGGTCAAATTCATGTCATTTGATTTGCATACACTGTAGTGGAGGATCTTACATTGTGTTGCATTATCATATCATATTATTTTAAGACTGTTTTATTAGGATTCTTGGATGCTAGCTCCTTGTTACCCAGGAGGGAGAATGACACATTTAGACTCTTGCTGCAGTGCGTATGCAACCCTACAATCCAAGATGGCTGATGAGTATATTTTACAATAATTCCAAGTTGTGCATCAGAAGTGAAAAATGTTCTACATAATGGCATTGCATACGTCTATGAGGCAAATCCTACCACTCTTATAGCATACATGTATGGACTACACCTACATATAATAATAATATAAAAGCAGTTGAGTGCTCTACTTTTTGTAATATCAGATAATAGATAAAAAAACAAAAACAAATATTCCCTCTGCTTGAATCCATTAGAGATTGCTTTTCCGTCAGGTGTTCCTGTGCTGTAGGTCTGTGTGACTCGCTGGCTAACAGTAGGACCTATTCATTAATGCGATGGATAATAGCTTTGGAATCGCAGCGGAGAGGAGCAGCCTTATTTAACCGCTGGGCACACAGCACTCCAACACTGTTATGGCCCCAGCAAGCCTGCCGTAGTTCGGCTGTGATAGTCCCCATCCGAGGAGCAGGCAGTGGATGCAACACTTCCAGCAGAGATAACATCTTCTGCACACCCTCTTACACTCAGCTTCGGTTGTAAGTCTTTGGTTTAATGTGGGACATTTTAATCCTAGGGGTATGGAAGATAGCTTGTGTTCTGTATTTGGAAGCTGTGCCTTTTTTTGCTTCAGGGTTACTTCTCTGCAAGCTAAAACAATGTACCCTGGTTAGTCATCGGTGGGAAAGCCCATTACAGCTCGAACACCCACTACTACCATTATGTCTTGTTTTTGTGCCACATCAGGCACATCTCCAATCCTTTTGCATTGTTTTTTTTTAGGCTGTTCCTTTGAGGCAATATCTGGTCACAACATCCAAAGCAGGTATTTGGAACACATTGTACTACAGGATACAAAACCCTGTCATTCAGCATATTTGTGTCTTGCTTGTGGATATGTCAGATTCATGCTGAGTTACAAATGGTAGCATGATGGTGAGGAACTCAACCCAGAACACGGGTCTTTCCCTTTAATTAGCGCTAAAGCGTCAGCGGCTAGCTTTTATCTGACTCCCAATGGTCAGATTCAGTGTGTCTACTCTTGTTTGGGTTTTGTAATCAAATCCCCAAAAGCCTTTTTCAGCTTGGGTATTATCCTTTGATGATAGCTTTGAAGAAAGTCCCCATGTGTTGCACTGAAGGCTCACCAGTAGTCCCGCACTTGAAAACTCTGCAGCCACTGAAACCCCTTGCTGCTGGTTCAAGCCCATGGGGTGTGTGTAATAGTGATTATCTTTCACTATCCCCAAGGATTTCATGGTGCTACTCCCAGATATTTGTATTAGCCCATCTACCTCCATGTGCTTAGCCTATACATTTCAGTGGTTGGGTTTTATCAGTAGTGATGTTCTTTGTGAGCCACAATAGTAACTGTATGGTCTTTAGTGATTGTGAACCAGCACCGCTGATGGAGTTTTTTGTTAGCTTAAATGCAATAGAATGTTTAACATGACAGGAAACACAGTAGGCATTCACATTGTGCAATCACTGTGCTTGGTAATATACCGTTCAATATGCGAACATATCGTAATTACAACACCAAATGAAAATCTTTAGGGGTTAAAAATGTGTTTTTTCCCTGCAGCTTTGATCAATGTTCTTTTTAAATGCAATCACTGGAAAACATTGTTAGGGTGGCTAATCAGTCTAAAATGGTTGCATGTTTGCTCTGATAGCTCTAAACAAGAGAGAAAGGTGGCACTTTAGTTTATTTCCACGCTTGCAACAAAGCAACAATACTATTACTACGGAAAGTTACCTTTGAAGCAGCTCTTGGAGTTAACGTGGGCGGGTAAATCAATCAAAACAAAGAGATTCAGATATTTCAAAATTAAATTGCCAGACAGACTGTAGAGCAAAAATCCAGAGTAATTAAAAGACTCTCAACTCATAATTGACCCAGATCTGG